TTTTCAAACCTTGTTACTAAAGTCTTTATATGCCGTTCCTTTTATCTCTTACCCTGAAGTTACGAATACCAGTGTTACTACTACTAATAGATTAATAATAATAATATAAATAAATTAAATAATTATGTTATTAAACTATTAATATAAATTATTATTACAATTATTATTATTATTAATTATTTTTATTATATTAAGCAGGATATTAGTAAGTATGATAATGTTACACAATAATGTAGTTGTTACTAAATATTACGTAATTAACCGGGTATATTACTAGGAATAAAATCTAACAATAGAGTGTATAAAGGAGTTACCCCTGATTGTTGCCACCCAGCTGTACTTCTCCACCTGCATTGTTGTTGGCCACAATGCTCTCGGAGAGCTACCTAGTGCTCTCTCTCTCTCTCCCTCTCTCTCTCTCTCTCTCTCTCTCTCTCTCTCTCTCTCTCTCTCTCTCTCTCTCTCTCTCTCTCTCTCCCTCTCTCTCCCTCTCTCTCCCTCTCTCTCCCTCTCTCTCTCCTCTCTCTCCCTCCCTCTCTCTCTCTCTCTCTCTCTCTCTCCTCATCCAACTAGCGTCAGTAATAGACGCAGACATTATAGACACACACATCTACGGTACGTCATCGAGTCACTGCATATATTTAATAATTACAATTCTGGCCAATAATTATTAAATGTTTCTCATTTTCTTTATATTAGGACAAAAAGACTTCCTCAATAGTCGCTCAAATGTTCTAAGCTATAATAGAAATGAGTGTCTTTACATTATAGTGAATTATAGCATTATAGTGAATACTAAGATTGTATTTCAAATGCTTTCGTTCCCTACGTGTACATGAAGTTTAGCGAGGGGAAGCTGTCAGAGTAGTATACCTGCCTGTACCAGTGAGTCAGGTGAGGTAACTGGAGTCTGCGTACCTACCCAACCTGTGATCGTGGGTTCGATCCCAGGCGCCGGCGAGAAACAGTGGGGAGTTTCTTTCACCCTATACCCCTGTTACCTAGCGGTAAAGTAGGTACCTGGGTGTTAGTCAGCTGTCACGGGCTGCTGCCTGGGGGTGGAGGCCTGGTCGAGGACCGGGCCGCGGGGACACTAAAGCCCCGAAATCATCTCAAGATAACCACGAAGATAACCTGAAGTGAAGTTATTGGTGTGCCAGGCTTCGGGCCTATCAACTTCTGGAGGGTTATTAAGGCAAAAACTATACCTTCCTGACCAACCAGAAAGTACACTTTAGTCCTAGACTAAAGTAAACTCAGTCTATACACACCGAGAAGTACACTTCCGGGTATACACATCCCTTGTGCTAATACGGTTGCTCTTCACACAGGTTACACCCCGCCAAACACACACCGAAACTACGACGTTGCTACAACGTTCGAACAAGTTTTAACACCTTCTAACCAGGTATAACAACCAATATATCAAGTTCTAACAACGTTCTAATACGTCATAAACACGTTAAGCCAAGATGTAACAACTTTATTACAAGTTGTAACAAGCGGAAAATAGAGACAGTTTCGGTTTGTGTTTCCAGGGACTGCACACCCTGGAGTGTGTGCATATTTATACGGTAGCCTATACTCTATACTAAGCAGCACACCATATAAACTAAGACATGTACCCATTAAAGAAGTATGTATGCCGCAAATCTTATCAGTTAGAACGGTGAACATTAGTTCATACTGGTATGGCGGGGGGCTGGGACGTCAGGGGGGGGGGGAGCTGTGAGACATCAGGAGAGGGGGGGGGAGGGTGGTTGTGGGATAGGAGAAATAAGAGGAACCAGGAAGAGGTAGCAGGAAGGGATGAGGCTAGGACCCAGAAGAGGGTGGGGGAAGGGGCAGAGGAGTGGGGGGAGAGGAAGGCGGTGCTTAAATAAATTACCTTGGTAACAAGCAGGGGGCCGAACAAGGTGATAAGACCTGCTGGGCTACTGTTATGGATCCGACCTCCCTGACTGACAGACAGCCTCTCATCCCTCCCCCCCCCCCCTTCTTCCTCACGATCATGCTCTCTCCATCTACCTCACAACCTCACTCTCTCTACTTCACAATCTCACTCTCTCTACATCACAATTTCACTCTCTACCTCACAACCTCACTCACTACCTCACTCTACATCACAACCTCCCTCTACCTCACAACCTCACTCTCTCTACCTCACAATCTCACTCACTCTACCTCACAACCTCACTCTACCTCACAACCTCACTCAACATCACAACCTCACTCTCTCTACATCACAATCTCACTCTCTCTACTTCACAACCTCACTCTCCCTACCTCACAACCTCACTCTACTTCACAACCTCACTCTACCTCACAACCTCACTCTAGCTCATCCTCCTAAAAAGAAAGTAATTATAGTAACGGTGTGATCGATGGTACAAATATGGAGGTGATGGACCAAAAGAAAGTAGACTTCTGTGTTATTGATTTTGAACAAACCCGGAAACATTTTTATATATTTAAGTTGCTAATAAAATCTAACCATCCTAGGCCTACTACACGCTATCTGAGGCCTAGTATAGTACATATATGTGCTATATTAGGCCTAGATATATCTAAGTTTGGTTTTGAGTTCTTATTTGTTCCTAATTATAAACTGCTAAGTACTAAATTCCACTTTCAATTTGTCCATTAGGTCGATATTTGTACCACCGTTCACATAGTTAAAAAAAGTGCTATCTTATCAGGAGGATCTTATCAGGAGGATGGGTTGCCCTCTCTCGGTATACCTCATAATCCCTCCTCTCATAGTCAGTCTTCCTCACCTCCACCACCGGTTGGGATAGTCTTCCTCACCTCCACCACCGGTTGGGATAGTCTTCCTCACCTCAACCACCGGTTGGGACAGTCTTCCTCACCTCCACCACCGGTTGGGATAGTCTTCCTCACCTTCACCACCGGTTGGGATAGTCTTCCTCACCTCCACCACCGGTTGGGATAGTCTTCCTCACGTCCACCACCGGTTGGGATAGTCTTCCTCACCTCCACCACCGGTTGGGATAGTCTTCCTCACCTCCACCACCGGTTGGGATAGTCTTCCTCACCTCCACCACCGCTTGGGATAGTCTTCCTCACCTCCACCACCGGTTGGGATAGTACCAGTAGTTTACTAGTAAACACGAAACAAGCACAGAGGAGTCCCGCACTTTACGCTAGGATATTACTGAACGCGGTAAGGATAATTTACAGCTAGGATAAATCCATCGATGAGGCATATCGTAGCTAGGACACACTCAGGATTAGTTATTCCATTGCAGCTGGAACATTCTGGGCTAGGGTAAGCATGTCTAGGGTAACTTTACCTAAGATGTAGAGGAGAGACTTGGATATCTTCTCAGTTAAGATAGCAGAGTATGAGCAGCGAGGTTAAGTATCAAGAGAAAGTAGAGAAACAGGAAGTAGAAGAGAAAGGAGGGGCGGGGGGAGTAGTTAGAGGAAATGGAGAGGAGAAAACAGGAATAAGAGACTTGAGAGGAGCTGGCTGAAGCCCGTATCATCCCTCCCCCCCCCTTCCCCCGTATGACAGGTGTCTACCGCGCATTAGAACGCAATGATTACCCAGGTGTGTGTGCAGGTACCAGCTTGATGTACCTTGCTGTGGGTAATGGTGGTACCAGTTTGGTGTTACAGACGGTAATGGTACCCCATTTAGGTACTTCTCCCGATGGTACAGTGTCGTAAGTTACTGTGTATTATGGAAAAGCGAAAATATCAAAACGGAAACATATTATTTAACGCAATCAGATCACACTGATAGAAAGAAAAATAATTATATAAACTTTGATGTACAGTAATCATGTCGGAAGACCTTTTCAAAAATACAATAAAATAAATTTTGCATCTGCAAGGAAAATGAGAAGTTGGATAAAAAGAACATTTCAAAGAAAAGATGTCAGACTAATGATGGTAATTTTTTTTGACACGTGTGAAAAGCTTTTACTATGCGCCCCCCCCCCCCCCTGAAAAAATCTTAACTAATGACACTAAATTTGTTTCACTCTGTATTCTCTAGCGCACATTCGGGATACACCGAGAGAGAACTCTGTCAACATCAGAGGCCCGAGACTGTTCAACACGCTTCCACTACACATAAGGGACATAACTGGCCGACCCCTCACAGTGTTCAAGAGAGAACTATCAACATCAGAGGCCCGAGACTGTTCAACACGCTTCCACTACACATAAGGGGCATAACTGGCCGACCCCTCACAGTGTTCAAGAGAGAACTATCAACATCAGAGGCCCGAGACTGTTCAACACACTTCCACTACACATAAGGGGCATAACTGGCCGACCCCTCACAGTGTTCAAGAGAGAACTATCAACATCAGAGGCCCGAGACTGTTCAACACGCTTCCACTACACATAAGGGGCATAACTGGCCGACCCTTCACAGTGTTCAAGAAAGAACTTGAAAAACGCCCCCAGAGGATACCTCATACGCCAGGCTGCGAGCAGATGCGTCTAACAGCCTGGTTGACCAGCCCAGCAACAAGGAGGCCTGTTAAAAAGTCCCAACCACAGGGATAATAATCCCTTAAAAAAAATTGTTGGTTACCTTGCGATGATTTTGTGGCTCAATGTCCCAGCGGCCCGGTCCCGACCAGGTCTCCTGGTTGCTGGACTGGCCAACTAGGCTGTTGGACGCGGCCGCCCGCAGCCTGACGTTAAAAATTTTAAATTTTGCCCCAAGGGGCGAGTTTATTGGGCAGCGCCACTCATCTTGTGAGTGGACACACCGCCATAGTGACAGTATTGGGCAGCGCCACTCATCTTGTGGGTGGACACACCGCCATAGTGACAGTATTGGGCAGCGCCACTCATCTTGTGAGTGGACACACCGCCAAGCAGCATGTACAACACTCCCCAATAGGAAGAAAACCCGCTGGGTTGTTCATCCTGTAGCCTGACGTTATCATGTGTTAGTTTACCACGTGTTAGTTCTGACTTGGCGTGTTCACAATGCTACCGTGAATGGATCTGCTTACTTGTTTGTGGGCGTAACGGTGGGCTGCAGTGGGTGGTGGGCTGCAGTGGGTGGTGGTAGGTGGTGAAGGATGGTTGCAGGTGGAGAGAGGCGGAGACGTCCTCAACCGTTCCACTGCTGGTGAAGTTACCCACTCAGACCTCAGGCAGGTCTCCGCCGGCTTATATTGCCCCAGTCACGTGACCATCAACTCGTACAGGACTCTAACCAGTGACACCCTGGTTCATACCTCTCATTCTCGTTCACTCCCTACACTCGCTCCCTCACTCTCTACACTCGCTCACTCCCTACACTCGCTCCCTCACTCTCTACATTCGCTCCCTCACTCTCTACACTCGCTCCCTTACTCTCTACACTCGCTCCCTCACTCTCTACACTCGCTCCCTCACTCTCTACACTCGCTCCCTCACTCCCTACACTCGCCCCTCGCTCCCTACACTCGCTCCCTACACTCGCCCAACACTCGCCCCTCACTCCCTACACTCGCTCTCTCACTCCCTACACTCGCTCTCTCACTCCCTACACTCGCCCCTCGCTCCCTACACTCGCCCCTCGCTCCCTACACTCGCCCCTCGCTCCCTACACTCGCCCCTCGCTCCTCGCTCCCTACACTCGCCGCTCGCTCCCTACACTCGCTCTCTCACTCCCTACACTCGCCCCTCGCTCCCTACACTCGCCCCTCGCTCCCTACACTCGCCCCTCGCTCCCTACACTCGCCCCTGGCTCCCTACACTCGCCCCTGGCTCCCAACACTCGCCCCTGGCTCCCAACACTCGCCCCTGGCTCCCAACACTCGCCCCTGGCTCCCTACACTCGCCCCTCGCTCCCTACACTCGCCCCTCGCTCCCTACACTCGCTCCCTACACTCGCCCCTCGCTCCCTACACTCGCCCCTCGCTCCCTACACTCGCCCCTCGCTCCCTACACTCGCCCCTCGCTCCCAACACTCGCCCCTCGCTCCCTACACTCGCCCCTCGCTCCCAACACTCGCCCCTCGCTCCCTACACTCGCCCCTCGCTCCCTACACTCGCCCCTCGCTCCCAACACTCGCCCCTCGCTCCCTACACTCGCCCCTCGCTCCCAACACTCGCCCCTCGCTCCCTACACTCGCCCCTCGCTCCCTACACTCGCCCCTCACTCCCTACACTCGCCCCTCGCTCCCTACACTCGCCCCTCACTCCCTACACTCGCCCCTCACTCCCTACACTCGCCCCTCACTCCCTACACTCGCCTCGCACTCCCTACACTCGCCTCGCACTCCCTACACTCGCCTCGCACTCCCTACACTCGCCTCGCACTCCCTACACTCGCCTCGCACTCCCTACACTCGCCTCGCACTCCCTACACTCGCCCATCATTCATAACGTAAGAACGTAAGATTAAGGACTTGCCGGAAACGCAACTCGTGCTAGTTTTATTTCTTTTTATTTGTATAGCAAAGTAAATACAGCATAAAAGATGCCGAAGCACCAAAAAACAAAAAACAACAACACAGAGCATACACAGTAACATCCAACAGGAAAGCACAGAATAACACAGAACGACAATAATACAGTCTCTGTGGTGTAGTGGTAAGACACTCGCCTGGCGTTCCGCGAGCGCTATGTCATGGGTTCGTATCCTGGCCGGGGAGGATTTACTGGGCGCAATTCCTTAACTGTAGCCTCTGTTTAACGCAACAGTAAAATGTGTACTTGGTTGTAACAACGATTCTTCGCGGCGGGGATCGTATTCCAGGGACCATAGGATTAAGGACTTGCCCGAAACGCTACGCGTACTAGTGGCTGTACAAGAATGTAACAACTCTTGTATATATCTCAAAAAAAAAAAAAAAAAAAAAAAAAAAAAAAAAAAAAAAAAGATAACAGGGTACACAGAGCAATAGAACATAAAGGGAAACAAAAGACAATAAAAAATACATAGGAACATACAAAAAAACAAAAGCATCACTACCCAGACGGGGCGTGCCAAAGGTGTCTGTCACGACAAAAATGTACATAGAAATCCAATGAAACCAAATGTAGAAACAAAACAAATATACATATATACAGCGTAAAACAAAACCCAAACACATGCACCACGTGTCACACCATTCAACAACAGACACCATTCCACATAAACGTAACACAGAACACACAGATGACACACAGCACAGTCGAAAAATACATGCCACATGACACACAAACCCTGCGTACAAACCCAGACAGCACCAATGAAAAACAAATTGTGAACACAGAACCGAAACACAGGAAATAGTACATGGTAAATATAACACTGGAAATACATCATAGTAAGTAGAACCCAGTAAATATAACAAAGGAATACAACAGGCACCATACAATACAGTATATATAAATTAGTAAACAGAACTTAGTAAACATTAGTATAGACAACATAGGAACGTGATATAATACAAAGCAACAAAGCAATGCACATAACATAGTAAATAGAACATAGACAAAAGGAATTTGAAAAAGAGCATAAGCACACAAAACCGCCCCACAACCACGCCAGGCGCAAGCAACACCACAACAAGTAATCAGATATCATATTTCTCCGGGAACAGTCTCGATGGATACTTCCGCTTATAAGCCTCCCATATCAAATACTCCTCTTCGGTAGAGGAAACGCCCCCACGACGCCGCGGCTATGGCATATACTCACGGACCACCAAATCCGGCGGAAGCGAACGCCCCCAACCAGAGGACACCGAAAACGAAGAACGATTCAGGAACACCTTCGCCGTGGAAGCAGGAGATACCGGAACAGCGGGCGGAGTCTGACGAGGCGGCAACACCCCCTCCGACAAAGCAGGAAACACAGAAGAAACGGCCATAGACTCGAGAGGGCAAAACCTGCGTCGACGAAATATGGGACAGGGAAGGGGGGCACGGAACCCACAGAGCGAGCAGCCTTCTTCAGCACCACCACCAGGTCGCCACGCTCACCCTCAACCTCGCAAGGGGGAAACCCCCCCCCCCCACGAGGAACCGGAACCATCCGACGCGGGCGACACACCCGAAGCAAGAGCCACAGGCCCCACACCGGCCCCTACCCTCACAGCAGGAGCCACACCATCACCAGGCGCACCATCCTCGCACTCCGCAGACGAGTAGCTCATAGAAGAATCACCGACACACGCTGCATCCTCACATTCCTCAGCCCACGTACGAGGAGGTGAAGCACCCGTATCCGTACGTGAACGCTTGGGGACGGGCCGTTGGTCATCGGAGCTGTCACCCCCTGCAGGAGGCACCCGAGAAGAGTCGGCGGCAGGCTGCCCCACAACCGGGAGAGCACCGGGAAAACAGGTGCGGTTGGTGGCGGAGGAAGAGGCACCACAGGTGAGTGAATCTGCAGGGACGTCGTAGGCAACAGAGGAGCAGAGGCTGGAACAGGTGCAGAAGCCGTCAGAAGCGAAGAGACAGACTGCGGAGGCGGAGCTGTACACACCACTACCTCGTCATGGACACCACCATCCACACACGCCAGGCCAGCAGCCGAGGAACTCTGAACCACCACCGGGTCAGCATCCGGCAGGGGAACCTCCCCATCCACTCCATCACGAGGTGACACATCCTGCGCCACCAACGGGGGAAAATCCTCTTCCCGGAACAGATTAACAGGTGCAGCTGCGACCCCAGTGCAAGCGGCTGCCAGGTGCCCCTCAATGCTATAACGAAAACAGGAGTGTGGCTGCCCTGCATAGAACGCCCGCAGAGTGTACCCCATCAAGGTAACTGAGGAGGGAACCGGGGACTTGAGTCTCAAGGCGAGAGTCCGAGTACCACAGGAGACCCCACGCCACCTGCCGGAAGAGACGGAATTCATTCAGAGGGAAACCACCGTTCCAAACTGACAAATACCTCTGTAGCAGGGCCTCAGAGAATTCAAAAGGCACACAATGCAGCGCCACATAAGTGACAGCACAACAGCGGTCCGAAATAGTGACGGTACCACTATTACCAGGGAGCGTCAATGTCCGCCCAGCATAGCTTGCCACGAAGTCCCGATAAATTGCCGCAGAGCGAAACTTCATGAGTGCCCGGTGGGTCGTTAACAACTGGAGTCCGTACACATTGGCCACACAAACTCGTAGCATATCCAGCAACACAATCTCAAGTGCAGGGTATGATGCTCGGCCAGAAAATTCAAGCCCAATCGTTTCAGTCCGGCAAACAGTGAAGACATTGAAAAAAATATTCTGAATAGCTTGAACGCCAAGGGAGGCAAAGTAAATCCTAAAGTGTTTTTTTCCGAAGCATCAAGCATCAGGAAGATGGATGGTTTAGCTAGGTGCTAGGCTTCAGGCTCAGGTGGTAGGCTTCAGTGGGACATTAACCACATAAGCGTTTATACATCCCATTATCTTGGTTATTGATAAGTTTTACCCATTTCCAGCCAACCAGCCAATTCAGGCTGGAGTGGGCTTTTGCTTCCATACAGGCCCTTCTATATAGACATACCAAATACGTTTATCCTTCTTACCTTGCCTCTTCGTTAGTATTTCCTCAACTAATGACTTGTATGAAGCTCACTAGCTCACCCGTCATCTCTCCCAGACACTAGCTCACCCGTCATCTCTCCCAGGCACTAGCTCACCCGTCATCTCTCCCAGACACTAGCTCACCCGTCATCTCTCCCAGACACTAGCTCACCCGTCAACTCTCCCAGGCACTAGTTCACCGTCAACTCTCCCAGGCACTAGCTCACCCGTCAACTCTCCCAGACACTAGCTCACCCGTCAACTCTCCCAGGCACTAGCTCACCCGTAATCTCTCCCAGGCACTAGCTCACCCGTCAACTCTCCCAGGCACTAGCTCACCCGTCAACTCTCCCAGGCACTAGCTCACCCGTCAACTCTCCCTGGCACTAGCTCACCCGTCAACTCTCCCAGGCACTAGCTCACCCGTCAACTCTCCCTGGCACTAGCTCACCCGTCAACTCATGACCAAGGAAGTGACAAGGTCGCTAAGGGAGGCTCGAGGAGAAACCAGGGACCGCAAGGAAGCGCTTACATATGCAAGTGCAAGTGTCCT